CTTATAAGTGAGTAAAGCAACACTATGCCTGCTCATTTACTGGAATGTGGGCGTGGGGGGGAACTCCGGCATAACTTTCTTGGGCCTCTAGAGAAAGATATGCACCCTTTGGTATGTATTCCCTCTAAATGAATATATTGTGTTGAGGGTGAGCCTAGTCACCGTCACGAGGCAGTTAGCAAAAAGCTCTGCTACACAATAAGAAACAAAGGTTCTGCCAGTGTTTTAATAGAGACTTTCCTGAAGTAAGGTCACATGCAAAGCAAAACAAACTGACAGATGTGACAGCTGCTAAATAAAGCACAGGCTCAATCTAGGTCTGTTCTTAAAGCATCCCTACTTTAAAAGCTTGACAGAGTGCCACCTCTTGAACTGTCCTCTGCCTAGAGTCATGTAAAAGAGCAAACTCACTGGAGCACTGTCTGCCATCCTTCATTTACAAACCGTGCTGGTGCTAGCCCATTGGGGGCTGTCAGCAGGAATATTTTTGCCCCCCAACACATACTAATCATTAATGGGGGGGCCCTAAGCAATTGCTTAATCTGCTTATGCCTAGTGCCAGCTCTTCGTACAAAAGGACTATTTGAATTCTTAGCTGCTGACAAACTAGCCTGCTGGGCTATCCCCTCTCCGTGCAACTGATCACCTTCACTTTTTTTTGTTTGTTGATTCACACCCTCGACCAGGCCATTATGGAAAATATGCTACCCAGATGAGAGGTAGCGTGGTGTCTCTAAAATATAAACAGACCTTGGATTATATGTGTAGCCTTAGGAAAACCTAACCTGTAGCCTGTGATGGTAACTGCAAGCCATCTGTCTTAGAATTCAGATTTCAACAACTCAGTACCTCCTTTTAACATCCTCTCACTGGTCAGATGTGTCTTCTGCCCAGCTATTTGCAGTTCCTCCAACACCACTGTAACTACAAACTTTCCGCCTATAGGTCTGGATTAGGGTGACCAGATGTCCCGATTTTATAGGGACAGTCCTGATTTTTTTTGGGTCTTTTTCTTATATAGGCTCCTATTACCCCCTCACCCCCCACCCCATCCCGATTTTTCACACTTGCTGTCTGGTCACCCTAGTCTGGATTCAATAAGGCCACGCTTCATAGTAATCCAGCAAGTTCTGAGAGGCAGACAGAGCCCCCACGGTGCTCCCTTGGAATAGTGCTTGACTTCCTTCCTTGCCCTTCACCCAATCAGGCCTACCAGCCTGACAGCACAAATATTAACCGATCTGGAAATGGACCTTTTTTTTGCATTGTCTTACTGTACCTTTTGTATGAAAGCAAATGGTGTCTCAGAAAGGAGGCAGAGGGGTACTTGCTGTAATCATGAGACTACAGAGAAATTCCATCTCTAGAGGGCTGGCTTTTCCCTACTGATTTGTTCCATTCTCTGCCGGACCGAGACCTCTGGCTCACTCCTCCTTCATCCCAGAAAGCAATACAGCATCCACTTGGCATGCTGTTGGTTCTGGGCTCTTTATGCTTCCTCTTGACACTATTATTCCTGACTTAGTTCTTGTTTCCCACAGAGAAATTAGTTGTTGCCTTCTTCCCAAGCTTCTGTTTTTCAAGCTGTCTGAGCAACCTAAAACTCATTGCCACAGTGCTGCTATCCTATTAGATGCCTAATAAATCTCTGAAGGAGAACTGAATTTAGAAAGTGATGAGATGTAAGGAGATACTTATCTAGTCTCTGCAAGTTTTGAAAGACTTCAATCTAGGCTTCAAACATGAGGGCTGGGAAGTCACTATCAGACTGTGCTAAGATATAAGCAAGGCCACAACAGGACTTACTGTGCTGTTGAAGAAGAACTTCCAGGACAGTTTTAAGAGATTGCATATGGGTCAATATAACTCCTATTCTTAGATACAAGCACAAAAGCATGCAATACCTGGTGCTCTAGTGTGTGTGTCTGTCTCTCTCTCGTTACCTTAACAATGAACTGCTGTACTGGGCCCTAATTCACTCCCTATCATTCACTTGCGCAGCCCATGCGCTGCTGAGTGTTAGGGTGTGATACTCCTCTAGCACGCTGCTTCCATTCTACAGACAGGTGTAGCTCATCCCGGAGACAGATTCTGATGATTTTCTTAGATAGCCCTGACATCAGAGGAGATGCTTCGGTTTACAATGATGTAAAAGAGAAAAATCTGGCCCTTCGGAAAGCAATTCTGAAGTTCACAATCTACTGAACTAATTATTCTACTTTGGGTTGGGAGGAAGTAATCTCAAAGAATACATATTAACCAATCACTGGTATTGGATAAATGCTGCAAAGAACTCAAACCTATGCTCCAAAACTCAATACCTAGGTTTAACTGCAGTTCCACTGCACTCTGTTTGCATACACTATCTGTAACAGGACCCTCCTGTCACTTACTCTGATATTTTGGACCAAGGTGAAAACCTAACTGTTCACAAGTTCAGAGGCAAAATATTCTACCTGGAAAACTAGGATTGTCCTGATCATTTGTTCCATCCTGGCTTAAATCAGGGGGTGCATTAAATATAGCAGATATTTAGAAAGTGATCACAAGTCTGATTTACGCTCTCAGGTAGCAGAATGCAGCTTTTGTGAAATATGCCACCATTTGACTCCTTCTCTCTGATGGCATTTATTTCTTGTGAGCATGATCCTGTTGTAGCACTTGGGAGCAGGAAGCAGTACTGCATAATGCAAATGGCTTTCAGTGATGTTCTAGGGGACAATAGCATAAAACAGAACATCCAAATTGAATTCAGTAGTGTTGGGGAATCTGAACCACATGGCTCACAACATGAATATTCATGTTCTTTGGACAGCATTACTACTAATCTGCCTTTATGTGGCTCTGAATGATCTCATTTGATACTTACACTCACAGCTTCTTTGTACTCTTTGCAATTCATCCCACTTCAGAAAGCATGTACTTCAGATTAACTCTTTCCTTGGGAAAGCTGTCTTGTGGGATCACTTGCAGCTGTGCCTCTGTAGCTGAGGAAGTTCAACTATACAAACTCCCTAGAATACAACTTTACATGGTTTTTTAAAGTAGAGATTTGGTATGAACTACCTGTCAATAGGGAGAAAAATATTCTTCCATTTAATGTTTGGGCAGAAGTGATTTATACAACCCCCCCCCCCAACTCCTAAAGTGGGGAAATAAATAAAAGCCTGTGAATGTTGAAGTGGAATATATCAACTTTGCTACAAATGTTTAACTGGGGACAAGGCTCTACCTTCTGCACCCAAATCTAGTGACAGGCTACTGGCAAACTATGAGAAATGACCTGCTCTGTTTAATAGGAGTTAACAAGGTTAATTCCCCTGGTGGAGGGGGAAAGGAAGTGTATTTAGACTTTTAAAAAAAAAAAAGTAAAAAAAAATACAAGCACTGTGGTTCTGAAACATATATTAGCATTACTAGTGTAGTCTGATCAGAAATCCTGCTGCAGCAGAGCACAGATTTAAAATAACTTCTGCCTGGAGTAACGCTGGTCACTTTTTCCAGCCTGGAAGCTTAAGAGACTGTTTTAAACTAAATATAGTCTGTGGCTGACTGCAAGACAAATGACTCAAATATTGCAAACAGGCCTGCCCTATCAGAGTTCCTCTGTGCCATGCTGGAGCTCAGACATGAATAACAGGAGCAGGTGGGTAGCTAACTTGGGTTTTTATTTTCAATCCAGTTGTCCCATCCTTGTTGGGACAGCTGATCTACAGAGGAAACTGGAGACGAGTTGTTTCAAACAAAAGTGATTAGTTTTCCCCTTTCCTACAGAACCCTTTGTCAGAGTAGTGGATACAAATGCTGCCAGTGTAACTAGATAATGTGTATGAAACGGCTCTTCGTTTTTGTTGGATGTTAAGGACAGACTATAAATGCTACCATATGCTACAGCAGTTGTCCAAGGGGATGAGCCAAGCTTACTGCTGATGTAAGTGTGGGCAGCTCACTTAGCTTTAGTGTTGCATCTGGTTATGTCTGAGATGAACTATAGCCTGAAATACTGGAATCCCTATAGTAGGGATGAACCCCCTTTGACAGTGGCAAATCAGGATCATCTTGGTCATACAAACAGAACTGTTCTTAACTATGGGCTTAAAACAAACACAATGCACAGCCAACCTGTGGAACTCATTCCCAGGGGATGTGGTGAAGGCCAAAAGTATAAATGGCTCATGGAGGATAGGTCCATCAACTCTGTCCTAGACCCTAGTTCCTTCTGACCCTGAGACACACCTTCTACCTGCAGTTTGCACCTATCACGCTGATGAAAGTAAGTGCCCTACATAGGGATACAGACTGTCCTGATTTTTGACTCGTGTGATACCTCTGCATCTCTTCTTACATTTACTATTTCTGAAGATTTGATTTCTATTTGTATTCTAAAGTACCATTCTGCAGAATATAGTGGGGGGGAAATGTAAATGAAACATCCTGGCCCGAACATTATCTGAAGCTCAAGGCAGTACAGTGGGTAATCACTAGCGTTCTCACCTCCTGAAGACTAGGTTAGATCCAGTTTTAAGCCACAAATGGAGAAGACAAGCACCAGGCCATCATACAATCTGGCATGACTGTCAGATGCTGCTCAGGAAAGGCCCAGGAGTGAAATGGGTGGTCGCGTTTAGATGTGCTGAGGGTGATTCCTGTCAGGACTCTTTAGCCAGATGTGAGTTCCTTGCTTTCATGAGTACTGAACTCCTCCAAAAACCAGGGCAGGGGAGAATAGTGTGTGTAAATACACATGAGAACAATACTAATTCAGTGCTTCACTTACCAGTGGCTTACGGTCTCTGCATGACAACGTTGTGGCTAACAAAGCACGACATGTGAATGCCAGAAGCTGGCTGATAAGGGTTTTGAGGCATTGAAGCATGAGCCTTGTCAATTGTCTCTATCTTCCTACTCGTGTATTAGTGAGACACTCAAATTGAATGTGTAACTCCTATGTTATAAAATGAAGATGTTGCTCAAACACTTTTCCCTTTCTTTCTCCCCAGATTTCTGAGCCCACTGAACATGATCCTTGGTGGCACTGTAGTAGTGCTGGTGTTCACAGGTTTTGTGTGGGCATCACACAACAAAGACATCCTTCGCAAGTTCAAGAAGCAGTACCCAACTGCGTTTGTGGTAGCCATCCTGCTGTCTAGTTACTTCTTGATATCCTATTTTGGAGGTGTCATGGTGTTCATATTTGGGATAACATTTCCTCTACTGTGTAAGTATAGCTTTTCTCCCCACTTCCCAGGGCTAGAACTAAAAGCTCAAGTCTATTCACTCTGAATTAATGTTTGGCTTCACTTAATATATGAAATTTGAGGTTTTAAAAATTGTCCCAAAACAAATCTTCTACAACTGACTTTCAAGGCTGCTAGCAAGTGAAACTTGAAGGAATCTATAGTTTTCCTTTTAAGAACAATAAACTATATTGGAGGTAGGACATATACTTACTTGTTTTCTTAAGCAGACCATATCAGTACATACGTGTTAGACTTCCAGCTCCCTACTTTTGGATGTCAGCTCATTTACAGAGTCCTTCAAAGTGCCAGATGAGGGGCACTAAAGAGCTAGGTATTAAATGGGGGCATGTCAGTTAACAAACATGTATTTCTGTTCTTAGTGATATTTATCCATGCGTCTCTGAGGCTTCGGAGCATAAAGAACAAGCTGGAGAATAAAATGGAAGTAATAGGTTTGAAGAAGACCCCTATGGGCATAGTCCTTGATGCCCTTGATCAGCAGGAAGAGAACATCAACAAACTGGCTGATTACATCGCTAAAGTGAAGGAATAAGGGGCACATAATATGGCTCTTATCTGTTGCAGGAATTTAGTTGCTATTTACTCTTGTCAAAGCTTGCTTTCAATTTGTCTGTGAGATGCACGTACTGTACAGATTGACAATGGCAAGATACAGGTATACAAAGTTATTCAGGGCTCCTCTAAGACTGGGGAGGAGAGAGTCACCTTTCTATAATATGGTAAAATGTCTTCCTGTTAGTGCATTTGTGTGTAATGGTTTAAAGCACTTGTTTTCTGGCAGGGGAGGTGGGGGAGAAACAAACATGAATTGCAGTCTCTGAACCTGTTCTTGGTAGCCAGTGTCATGTCTAAGTATTTATAATGCACTTCATTGGAGGGATGGTATGGGGTGGGGGGACTGTTTAGTGCTCTACTGGTTGGCTAACAATGTCAGCAGACAAAAATCTGTCAAAGTCAGAATTGGCTGAATGCTCTGCCAATACACTTTTTTTTTTTTTTTTTTCTTTTCCCCCCCCTCCCCCCCCCCACCCCCCGACTTCCCTAAAAGACCCTCTAGGGGGTGTCATCTTAACTTACCTTTTCAAGTGGGTTATATTCAAGCCATCTTATCTGAAGTAGCAAATGGAAAGAATAAATTGACTAGAGCGCACAAGTCACCTCACACACTCCTAGTCTGTTCACAAAATGTAATATTTTCTTATAGCAGGAGATCAAAGTCTAAATGGGCAACATATGTAAACTATATAGCACCCTTGTCCAGCTCTGCCCGCAATACACCTATGCAAATTTGACTGAATTCCATAGGAGAGGCGCATGTGTCTCTGAAGGTTATTATGAGCCTTAAATGTCTCTGTGAAATCTTCGCTCTCTTGAAGTCCATGGAAGGTTGTGTGGTTTTTTTTTTGTTGGTTTTTTTTTTTTTTTTTTTTTCTTTTACTTCAATAGAGCCATGATTTCACACTTATAAGGTGTGGGGTTTTTTGGTTGATTTCTTTTTTTTTTTTTTTTTTATGCTTAAAAAAACAAAACTGGACTGTAAGAATAGCTAGGACACACTCTCTCTTACTTGGAGTTTTTTGAAAAACAAAACTGTCACTTGAGATTTTAGGACTTGCCTCATTGTCCAAATTGTGGTCTGACTCTCTCTTCCAGTTTAAAGACGACACTGGCTAAAACATACATTTTGCTAACTTATTCCACTTGTGGCTCTGTTCAGGGGAAATAAGACTAGATTTCAGACATAAATAAAAACAATAAATTGCATATTCTTAGAACCATTTCCAAATTCATGTAAGCAATTACTTTCAAGAGCTCTTGTTACAAATCTCTTCAGTAAACTTCAGCTTGACTGCAGTCTGTGCTACCTAAACCATATGCATGGAAAAACGTATGCAGATTAACATAGTGTGTAACTAGCACTCTTGCATCTCTCCTCCTTTTTATGAAGTATTTATCTGTAACTGACTTGATTTACATGGCAGGTATAGCAGATACCCAAAAACCTCTTCAAAGTTCATGTATATAGACATGTGCGTGCACACACATACGGTGTCTCTTCAAAATGAATTGTTTAGGAGTCTGAACACCTCATTCCATGCAAATGTTCCAGAGTGATCAGTATTTATTGGAAGTTTGTCTTTACGTGTATATTCCAGGGTAAGAAGCAATGCCCTGCTCCTTTATTATAATACCTTGTCTTAGCTTTTGATGAGTAGTTCTTGCTACACTTACAGAAGACATACTAGCCTATGACTTCATGAATATATGGTTACATTGTAGAATTTTAAAAATGAGTTGTGAAGAATAAACTTTAACAATTGATAAAACTGAGTGCATTTATTTCTTTTTAAACTAATCCTAATGCAGAAAAGTGAGCTTTAATCAAGATCACACTACTCTACAATAACACGATGCAGCTTAAGTGACAAACTTTTTTGTTTTTTGAACTATGGTCACTACTTTACATATAACAAAAGCACAACACAATGCACTGTGGGTCTTCTTTCCTCTTAGAAAGGGAATGGATTTGGAACATGCCATAGTGAGTCATTGGTTTTCTGGGTGGAGGAGAGTAGGGAGGGCTGCCTCTTGGACTACTTTGAAAAATGGTATGCTTACCAAACTGGGCGGGGTAGGGTTTGGGTTTTTTGTTGTTTGTTTTTAAAGTCAGACATCTGAACACTGGAAAATTTGGTTTAACAGACAAAAAAACCCCAGCTTTGTAGCATGCCAAATTGCACAAAAACTCCAAAGTGCATGTACAGACCAGTTACCAGAACACAGCTACCTTCTGTGAATAATTTTCAGTTTCTAGCCTCACCAAACTAAAATTCTCCCTTCAAGCCACATCTAAAGTAGAAGATTTCTGCCTTCACCTCTCAACTTAACAAAAAACCCTCCGCAAAACTCCAAACCAAGTAGGAGTAAATCAGTACTCTGTGTCAGAGGGGGGAAGCCTGATTTGATTTTATTTTTTTTTGTCGTCTGAACAAAAGCTTCTGCAATAGAGAAAGAGGTAAACTGCTGTGTCCTCAAAGGAAATTGAAGCAAATGGGGACACCTTCCTATACAAGATAACAGGCTGTACCTTTACAATAACAATAATTCCAGTTAGTATCTGCTACTGGGTTTTGTAGGGGGTGGGGCACAAAGCCTAGAGCAACCCCTTATCAAAGTTTGATTCTATTGCTGGCCTTAGCAGAAGCCATTGGGCCCTTAAAGGAGGACACAAGGCAAGAGTGGGGCATGCATTGTTGGATTTTTAGAAGAAGCTATACCCCACCCAAATATGGTTGGCAGGAACTATAAGTGGCTATCAGAAAAGTGTGGGAGATGGGCTCAGTTCCCTTTTTCCAACCCTATTGAAAATAAGGAGTCCGCAGAGGTATACGTGGTGGAAAAAGTAGTGCAATCTCATTAGGGTTGAGGTAGGAGACAACAAGTAGTAGATGTGGTAATGGATGTAACTCATTGAAGAAAAAGGATGGTGATGTGATAAGCATCCCCAAAACCACCATTCAGACCTGAACCCTGTGACTGGCATGACACCAGACATGACCACACTAACTACAGAAACCTACAAGGCGCTAATCGATGATCTTCATACCATGAGGCTCAGTCCAATCTGGATAAACTTTAATGGTAAGTGAGTCCCTACGCTGAAACAAACCAGTCCTCCAGTGGAGGAGGGCTTGAATGGGGGTAGTGCTGTATGCCTCCTGGTGTTTGCTTTTGCATTCTTTCTGAAGGGGTGAGGAACGTGCAGTAGGAAAAGATCCCATCTCTCTCTTACAGTAGGATCTGATGGCTCTGAACAGCCTTTGTGCCTTTCCAGAAGGCACCATTTTTGTGTGGCACTTTCCTAGACTCCACCTACCTTTCCTTTAGCCACACCCCCTCTGAACTGTCTTGCAAACACAGGCAAGGGTTGTGCTGATGTCACTGAGAATAGCATGTTCCAGTATCTTCTCCATATAGTTCCCTTCTGCATCTTTCATCTATGCTGCCAGTTCCTGCCTGAGTGTGGTCTGTGTGCCATATTAGCATATGGTCCCACCTATGATTACACATAAGGTAGGGATGGGCTTTTGCTTGCTTTGCCTTCCCTCAGAGGAAGGGATGGGGTTGCCATATTTTCTTCCAAACACTTAGACACCCTTCCCGGTTGTGTGAGTGCAGAGCGGCTCCTATCGCTCATTTGCTTCCCCCTCTTTGTTACTACACAGTGTAGACAGTAGGAGCGCACTGAAAATTTTACATGACCATTATGGGTCTGATTCACTAGAATAATCAGCTTAACGGGCCCTGGGAGCATTCCCTTCATGTAGGGATCGGCTGATGGCATAGGGTCACTGTACCAGCTCTGCCATCCCTCACACCCTCTCTGGCTGGCAACGATACCTAAGCACTAGGAGTTATGGTCAAGGCACACGCTTCCCTCCAGACAGACCCTTGAAAAGCTGCTCGGTTTAGGGTGAGTCCTGAATCGCCTCTGGGAACGGGGCTGAATAAGAGTGGCTCTTCCCACCTCTGCCTGACCATGCTCCTTTTTCTGCTAGTCTTTCAATTGAAAGAGAGAGACTACAACACTGGCACATCCCACCTAGGTTATTCTCTTCCTTTGACCGCTGTAAATGAGAAATACAGTAAAACTGTGTTTTCCTCTCAACATTTGCACAAGCAATGTTGAATCATAGTTTAAAAAATTCCTTAGGGTGCTGTAAATTCATACAGTACCTTACAAACAGTAAATCAAGTTCCCTGCCTGCATATCCCCCACCCTCAAAGAGCCTTAAAGGGAATCAGACAGCAGCTCAGTGAAGGTACAGGGAGGGGACGTGAACAAAGGTGGAAGGGTGGATTTGAAAGGAGAGGGTTGATTGGCATGAAGAAGGCAACTGTTCCCTATGTGGGAGCAGTAGGATATGAAGCTGTGAGTGGGAGAAAAGAGGTTTGGGAAGGAAGCATGGATTGTGTAAGAGAAATGCGAGCTGGCTGGCAGAAGATTTTTTTAGAGCCTTGGTGATCATATTGAGCGAGAAGGGAAGGATGAGGCGCAACCAAAGGAGCTGCGGAAAGAAGAGGTCAGATTATTGGGATGGCCAAGGACATTCAGACAAGAAGAGAAGGAACGGAGCAGCAGTAATAGGCAGACCAAGAAGGGAAAAAAGAGCAAGACACAGCCTTGTGTCTTAGCTACTAGAGGCAGAGCAGGCCATTAATGGACTTGGTGAGGCTGGTTTGCGTGGAGTGAAGTTTTGTGGGGAGCAAAAGGAGAGTTGGCAGATAGGAATCAAGCAGTGTGAGGGGATAGACTGGTACGAACAGACTGACGTTAGGGGGAAGACAACAGCATGCCTGGTAGCAAAGGGAAAGCATCCAGAAAAGAGATTCATTAAAGATAAGAGGAACTGAGGAGGATTTCACACGCTTTGGGATAGAGACTTTCCCCAACACCAGAAATAACCTCTCCTTTCCTGGGCACATTCTGTGGGTGCTTGGGCTGGGTTTGGATGGTACAGAATCAAGGCTTGTCACTTTGACCATTTAAAGCATTTTTCCCCATCAGAATATTTCAAAACCATTAACTGGTGCAAGGATGGGCAAGTGCCGTTACCTCCAGCTAGAGCTCTGCACTGCCATCGCCAGACAAGCGAGACATTCAGTTCCTTCCTCAAACTGGCAGGCAGTTTGAGACCCAAGCAGAGGGAAAAGGGCAAGGGCCCAACAATACTCAGTAGCAGCAACTCTGGCCAGTTCATCAGTAGTATTGAGGGACATCTGAAACAGTCCAGTTCTATTCTCAGAAGGTGACTGCAATGTGTGGTCTGAAGCATGCGGGTGGCGAAACAGTTCAGGGTTATAGCACAAGGACAGAGAGAATCTGCCAGGGGAATAATGATCGCACAGCTCCCAAAACAGCTCATGGCTTCATGTTTTAAATGCTAACCAGATAGAATACTTGCCAGAACACATTCTATGGAGTATGAAGTTTGAAACTGTTATGACTTTCTTTTTTTTCCTGTGTACTGTGCCTTTAAGTTTCTAAGAACTCTGCCTGTTTGCCGAGATGGCAGCCATTTTGTTCTCAGAACTACTGCAGTTTGTTTTGGAAGAAATGCACACTGTGCTCTCTCCTAGACAGGGCATTTTTGCTCTTTTGTTTGTTTGTTTCCTCCGTCTAAAAACAAAAATAATTTCTGGACTGAAAATAGAAGTTGTGTAGATAGAAATCACATGTGTACTTAATAAAAAAAAGCAGTGGCATACAGCAGTGTGAAAAAAGAAAGTTGTGTGTGTAAAGAAGGAAAGTCACAATAGGGCACTATGTGTTGCAGGAGAATTTAACAGCAGAAAGTACCATGTAAGCAATAGAGTTCACTGACTGAATCTGTAAAACCTGTTAAGTTGTTGCAGCTGCTGGGCAAATACCTCTGGACAAATTGGAGACTAGAATCCAACTGGCAGACAGAGATTATACCAGGGCATCATTGTTACTTGATAGCTGATGGAAATCCTTTTAGCATTGACTTGTTCCATTCCACCCTTTTTCATCATCATATAAACAGATGCATATTACAAGCATTGTTCCCACATGTTCGTATCTACCACTTGGCTTCTGAAGAAAGCATCCTTTGAAACAATTGTAAGTGAAACTTGAATAGTCTTTATTTCAAGTTGTTTCCTTCAGGGGAATCTGGTGTTTTACTCTAGCTCTTTTGGCACTGGCACCTGTACAAGACCAATAAGAAGACACGTTAATAGCAGGAAAAACTGTCTTTGCCTTCTTTTTTCCAAAAATAAGTGTGCTTATTATAATTAGACAGTAACATCAAAGTACTGAAAATGTAACAGGAAATTCTGTGGCTATAATGGTTAAGACATTCTTGGCACATTGTTGTCTCTTAGAATTCACAGAGCTGTTGGTTATTGCTTGATAAATCAAGTAGCCATCAATAACACCACTTAGCCCAGATAGAGATCCCATAGATCTCAGAGTGCTCTACAAGGTGAGGAGGCATTCTTATCCCGCATATGACAGATGGGGAAAGAGAGAGACTGGAGAAGGTTTAAGTGATGTGCCAAGATCACACAGTGAGTCAGTGGCAACGTCGATGTGCCTTGAATGCAAGTCCAGTGACCTGTCCACTGCAGATATTTTACTTCTAATCCATTGTGAGCCGTTCTAGACAGCGTGACCGGATCCAAGATACAACCCTTATACACCAATGTAAAAGGTCAGAAGTCCTGAAGACAGCCTTTCTTTGCAGCTAAATTAGTCTTTAAATAATCCTTGCCACTGTAGTAGTAGTAATAATAATAAAAATAATGTGAGTTAGGGACATAGTGGCAGCATTAACTTTGAATTTACAGGCAGGTGTCATTTTAAGACCGCTCATCTTCTTTAACATGTCAGGCCAAATTCTTGTCTCAGTTATGCCTGTGTAATTCCACTGAATATCGTGAGTTTGTACAAATGTAAATGGGACCAAAATATGGCCTGTAATTTAAAAAAAAATAATATGTTGAAAAAAATTCAGAGGAAGTTATGAAGCAAGTGTCAATTACTTGAGAAATTGGAATGGCATCTTTTGGCAATTTACTTTTTAGACTGGATCCTCCACACTCTTGCTCAGGGGAGTATTCCTTAATCACACAAGCAATTCCATTTGGATGATGATTTTCACAGAATTTAATGGGCCTGATCACTTTCGTAAGAACTACGGGGTCACTATTAGATCCTAGAAGAACAGAATGTTAAACACTATGGCCATGATTTTGAGGGCCCAATCTGAGTCTTCTGAAAGAGGCCTGGTTTTCCGAGGTTGAGGGCTCACCACTTTCTGAAAATCAGCCCCCTTAAAGTATTTCAAGTTGGACACACACAAATGGAAGCATCCAAAATCATTAGTCCTTTTCATAATCTTGCCCCGTATTTTGTAAAAATGCATAACAGACCCAGAGCCTACTCCGATTGTTGCCAAGAATTTTGCCATTGACTTAAATGGGAACAGGACCAAGTCCAGTCACTATAGTCACACAAAAAGAACAGGAGTACTTGTGGCACCTTAGAGACTAAGGGTACGTCTATACTTACTTCCTGGTCCGGATGTAAGCGATTGATCTTCTGGGATCGATTTATCGTGTCTTGTCTAGACGCGATAAATCGATCCCGGATCGATCCCGGAAGTGCTCGCCGTCGACGCCGGTACTCCAGCTTAGCGAGAGGAGTACGCGGCATCGACGGGGGAGCCTGCCTGCAGTGTCTGGACCCGCGGTAAGTTCGAACTAAGGTACTTCGAATTCAGCTACGTTATTAACGTAGCTGAATTTGCGTACCTTAGTCCGAAGTGGGGGGTTAGTGTGGACCAGGCCTAACAAATTTATTTCAGCATAAGCTTTCATGGGCTACAGCTCACTTCTTCAGATGCATAGAGTGAAACACACTATGCATCTGAAGAAGTGAGCTGTAGCCCACGAAAGCTTATGCTGAAATAAATTTGTTAGTCTCTAAGGTGCCACAAGTACTCCTGTTCTTTTTGCGGATACAGACTAACACGGCTGCTACTTTGAAATATAGTCACACAGTGGTTCCTAACGTGGGGTACACGCACCCCCTGGGGGTGCGAGATGCCCTTTCTGGGGGTGCGAGACATGCCGGATTTTTTTAGAAGGTAAATAATCAAAAACACAAATTAAGCACAGGCACGTAAGTACAACTACTTTGTTTCATCAAACCTATGTATTTATTAACATTATACATTTTTTAATGATTACTGTAATATACAAACAAAATATATCTAGGTTTAAGGGGTGCGAGAACATATTTTGAGAACCAAAGGGATGCAGGCTGCAGCAAAGGCTAAGAACCACTGAGTGATATACACAGATCCGGGGCCGATATATTATTTTGTTAAATACATGCTCACTGTTAACATTTCATACATGCAAAACCTAATTCACCATTGCTGTAAAAGGGCATATCTCCATTGATTTCATTCCAGTTACACTTGCTCCTGCCAGAAGTGAATTTAGCCCATGGTCTTTCTTGTTTGGTTTTATCTATTTATTAAAAACGTTATTTTTAATTAAGATATTATTGAAGGTATTATATGTGCTCTACAGACCAAAATAATACGTTAGAGGCCATTTGATTCTATCTGATATGTACTCGGGCAATTTTAAAAATGTGTCCTAGACCAGATAGACCAAAGCCGCTCGGGAGGAGCCACTTCTGCCTGTCTAGCAAATTATCAGTTCAAAAGTCATGGCATATGCACTAAATATACCTTAGAAATGGTTGAATATACAGACATAGATTAAGGGGCATTGGCAGTGTCGCCATTTGTAATATCATGATAATCTCAAACAAAGTAAGGAAGAGTTGCAGTAAAACAAACAAACAAATTTACTCCTCTCCCCACTAAAACAAGAGCACAGTCTCTCCTGAGATCTTCTGAGTAGTAAAAGCCCCATAAGAACTTTCCCTACAGGTGTGCATTAAAGGCTTCAGTGAGTGAGATGCTGAGCCTCCATAACTCCAAATCATATTGATGGGAGTTCATTTATGTCTCGTCTTGTAAGTTACGGAGCCCCTGTTCTCTGTGTCATTTGGAGAGGGAGTTATGGGAAGGCAGGGGACTAAGGGTACGTCTATACTTACCTCCGGGTCCGGCGGTAAGCAATCGATCTTCTGGGATCGATTTATCGCGTCTTGTCTAGACGTGATAAATCGATCCCGGATCGATCCCGGAAGTGCTCGCCGTCGACACCGGTACTCCTGCTCCGCGAGAGGAGTACGCGGAGTCGACGGGGGAGCCTGCCTGCCGCGTCTGGACCCGCGGTAAGTTCGAACTAAGATAGTTCGACTTCAGCTACGTGAATAACGTAGCTGAAGTTGCGTATCGTAGTTAGAAGTGAGGGGTTAGTGTGGCTAAGGCTAGGAATAAATGGTCAGTTTTCAGAATGGAGAGAGGTAAATAGTGGTGTCCCCCAGGGGTCTGTACTGGGCCCAGTTCTAGTCAACGTATTCATAAATGATCTGGAAAAAGAGGTAAACAGTGAGGTGGCAAAATTTGCAGATGATACAAAACTACTCAAGACAGTTAAGTCCCAGGCAGACTGCAAAGAGCTACAGAAGGATCTCTCAAAACTGGGTGACTGGGCAACAAAATGGAAGATGAAATTCAATGTTGATAAATGCAAAGTAATGCATATTGGAAAACATAATCCCAACTATACATATCAAATGATGGGGTCTAAATCAGCTGTGACCACTCAAGAAAGAGATCTTGGAGTCATTGGGGATAGTTCTCTGAAAACATCCACTCAATGTGCAGCGGCAGTCAAAATAAGCTAACAGAATGTTGGGAATCATTAAGAAAGGGATAGATAATAAGATAGAAAATATCATATTGCCTCTATATAAATCCATGGTACGCCCACATCTTGAATACTGCATGCAGATTTGTTCGCCACATCTCAAAAAAGATATATTGGACTTGGAAAAGGTTCAGAAAAGGGCAACAAAAATGATTAGGGGTATGGAACGGCTGCTGTATGAGGAGAGATTAATAAGACTGGAACTTTTCAGCTTGGAAAAGAGACGACTAAGGGGGGATATGATAGAGGGCTATAAAATCATGACTAGGGTGGAGAAAGTATATAAGAAAGTGTTATTTACTCCTTCTCATAACACAAGAACTAGGGGCCACCAAATGAAATTAATAGGCAGCAGGTTTAAAAGGAAGTATTTCTTCACACAATGCACAGTCAACCTGTGGAACTCTTTGCCAGAGGATGTTGTGAAGGCCAAGACTATAACAGGGTTCAAAAAAGAACAAGATAAATTCATGGAGGATAGGTCCATCAATAGCTATTAGCCAGGATGGCCAGGGATGGTGTCCCTAGCCTCTGTTTGCCAGAAGTTGGGAATGGGCGACAGGAGACGGATCACTTGATGACTACTTGTTCTGTTCATTCCCTTTGGGGCACCTGGTATTGGCCACTGTCGGAAGATAGGATACTGGGCTAGATGGACCTTTCGTCTGACCCAGTATGGCCATTATTATGTTCTTATGTTAAGGCTAGGGCACTGAACAGGTGACTAAGTAGACCTAGGTTCAGTTCCTGGCCTTTCCACTGGTTTGCTGGGTAATCTTTGGGCGAGTCACTTCATCTCCCTGTGCCTCACTTTCCCCATCTGTGAAATGGGGATAATGATACTCACCTTGTAAGGGGCTTTGAGATCTATGGATGAAAAGTGCTAGATAAGTATTATTATGGGGCTCAGAACCTCATAGGATTGACCATAAATTGTTAAGGACCCTGTATAATGTTTGGAGGATTAGTAATAAATCATTACTGCAACTGTTTGCACCCTAAAAGAAACAGATTTACACACACACACACACACACACACACACACTTACACTTCTAATTTTTTTGCTTATCTATTGAGTTCAGTCCTTTTCTTTTACCTTTATGATTGTGGGCATACAGAGGTTTGAAATCTCCCTTTAGGACTTTGCGTCAGTGGTACCATTTCACTGACTACTATTTAGAGGGGCTTATGATTTGTCTAGTTATGAGCTGAAATTAGGCATGAAATCTCACTCTATGGGCAGATAATGGTGTGGGTCTTGCCATCCTTGCTCAAAGAACACTCAGTGGGAGCTTTTCCTATATAAAGACTGTAAGTTGGGCTTAATATTCACCACATTTGAAGTAAAACTGTGGTTGGTCATTATTGCGATGTAACGTGTGAATTAAAGTCTGAATTCATCTAACAGCTCACAACGGCCCAGGAGGCAACTAACAAACCCTTTATCAAAATTCCATAACATAAATGTACTTAATTTTAAACTGATGATGAATCTATCCAGAAAGCATAGCAGCCAAATCTTCACCAGGCATTAATAATTGCACCGGCAAAATTTGCGGTTGTATTAATTTGCCCGTGCAAAAGTCTGCATTTGTGCATACAGAAACACGTGACTAATGCTCAAAATCTGTTCACAAAAATGCCAACTTGCATACAATAAACATGTTTATATGCCTGAAAATGAATATGCCCACAATTTTTGTAGATGCTTCTGTGGAAGCCCTTAAAATAGAATATTAGATTTGATTTGCATTAAATTACAGAGATGGAAATATTTCCCTGTTGCTACCATTCTGTTTCATAAACACTTACCGGTTTAAGATAAGCGACGTTACTCTGACGAATGTCATTTAAGAGCTTTTCTCTTGGGGTTATCTGAACCAGAGGAGGTGGTCGTTTTTTTGGAACTGGTTTAAGAGTCTTGATCACATCTTTGATACTTGTTTTTTCAGCTGGTTCCACGTATTCTGGTATCGTGGGCTTGCGCTGAGTTCTCTTGAGTTTGACCGTTTTGAAGGAGGCAGGTTCCTCACTGCTCTGTTCTTCAGGGGCTGGCTTTCTTGCATGTTCATTTTTCCTGCTCATGGGCATAGTTTTAGGGACAGGTGGCGGCTTGGGGGCTTGTATTGAGCTATACATCCTTGAATCAGGCATTGGTCCCCCTAGCATTTCCCACATCCCAGGAGGCAACCCTAGTCCATTTTCTAACATGGCTATTAACTCTCTCTGCTGTTTTAATTGCTGCTGTTTTTGCTCCTCTTGCCTTTTTTGCCGTTGTCTGTCAAGATTTCTGCTGAGCAGATTGGTAACAACCATCCTGGGGCCTGGAAGTTCAAAGTGATAGCCCATCTTCAGCAGCTTAGGGTTGGCTTTCAGAAGCCTGGCAATTTCCATTTCAGCTTGATGGCCCAACATGTTCCTCTGGTTGTGAAAACGCAGTTCGGTTAACGTCTCATTATACTGCAGACATCTCATGATAGCAACGATTCCCTTGCCTGAAATAAAATTTGAATCAATATTTAGAGTAGTGATGCTCCTGTTTTCACGTAACATGTTGGCCACAGCAAAAGCTACGTTATCATCAGCTCCCACATTGGCTAAACTAAATGTTTTTACATGCTTGTTTTTTTTCATGGCATTCACAAAGTCCACCAGCATTTCCTTTGGGATGTTTTCAATGTTGTTCAGGTTGAGTTCCTTCACATCTGGATCGTTTTTCCGGACCTTCTGCAAGCTCTCATCTAAATTGGTTTGGTTTCCTGAAGGTCTTGCACTTAACTTAATAAAACTAGTATCTACAGCTAACTTCTTTGGAATTTGTAGTTTTGATACTTTCTTCTCATGGTTTTCTTGGTTTTCTGGATTTTCCCCTGATTTTATACATGGCTTCTTAGTTACCTGATCACTGTTGCTGTTTTTGTCTCCATATGGCTTCTTCATTCTTGATTCTTCTTCATCATCTTCCTCCTCCTCCTCTTCATCATCGTCATCCTCCTCCTCGTCGTCATCATCATCATCTTCCTCCTCGTCATCATCATCTTCCTCCTCCTCCTCCTCATCATCATCTTCCTCATCTTCTGTCTCTTTATAGCTTCTCTCTTCATTTGTTTCTCCCGATTGTTGAGCTGAACCAGGCTTGGCCTGTTCGACATGTTCGTTTTTGTAATATGTTTCTTTTCGGTCTGCTTCTGTAGTATCTTCTGCCATTTTTTGCTTAGCAATATTGTCCATATCCCCAGTATTTTCTTCAAACTTCTCTGCAACGTTTCTCTAAAGAAGACAAAATGCTAATAGCTGAAATAATTTAAAATGGTTTTGTGACATTTATTATGCGCTGAAATAAAAATATAGCAAATGGATTTAACATATCTGTTTTTCCTCACATCATATATAAGAGAATGCTTTTAGAAAAAAGAAACAATGTTCATTGTACTTCTGGCCTAAGTGTGAATGAACAATAATTCCTTACTTAAATACTGTTATCCAGCAATCTCTCATATAAACTTTCCAAGAATGCCAATAACTTCTTTCACATTCCTGATCTAAAGTCTATTGATGTCATGAGAAATCTTTCTGTTGACATCAATGGTAGATCAGCCCTAATTGTCTCTGATATAACAATGGATTGTCTATCGCATTTCTAGGAAACTTTTGTTTTTCATGTAGCAAAAAACTGGAGATACATGTCTAGCTATTGGCTCTGTGGCTCAGTCTAATGAAGATCAAAGAGGAGAACATCATAGTAACGGGTAGAACTATTAGTGCAGGGCCACCCAGAGGATTCAGGGGGCCTGGGGCAAAGCAATTTTGGGGGCCCCGTCCATAAAAAAAAGTTGCAATATTATAGAACGCTATATTCTCGTGGGGGCCCTGGGCAAATTGCCCCTCTTGGCCCTCCATTAGTGTTCAAGCCTTAGGAGTCTGGGCTTTTGTGTAGAGCATTAGCATTAAGGGGGCATCACTGAGGATGTAGGTGAATATTAGTTCAATTGCTTTTGTGTTCTACAGTGGGAAAGTGGTTTCTGAACACTGCTTGATGCAAGGGCTGTGCTTTTAGCATCAGTAATAACATCATATTGGCATCTGCTCTGTTCCTGCCAGGAAGGTTAGCCACTCTCCCTGAAGGTCTATTTCATGTACAATTTAATTTTCTTGTCCCTTCCTCATGATGGGTAAGAACTGGATTTTACTACTTAGGACCCATTTTACTTTGTCTGCAGCTTGCTATTAGCAAGCAAAAACTCCCATGGACTCCAGTGAGAGTTTATCTATAAATAAGGAATGCAGGATCTGGCCCTTTGTATGTACAAGAGTAAGGGATGCAGATGGTGGTGGTGGTCCTGCCCCACTGAGACCAGGATTGGGACCACAGTGACACTTAACTGCACTTCTCCTTTGTACCAGTGGAGGTTGCTATTTGTCAAGTTCTGAAGTGACAAAGTAGGGGATGCTGAAATATAAATAAATCATATCTGCTTGCTGTATTAATGAAGCCCTCGGAGTTTTCGTATGGATTTCACTTGACACAGAACTGGGAATGAACCACACAACTCCCAACTTTGGAATAGTTCAAATCTGGATCCAAACTATATCCAGGCCCATCTATATTTTGTACAATAGAGGTTAAAGAAACCCCAACAACTTTCAACATCCCAAAGTATAAAAGGAAGCACATTTATATATGAACCTGTTAAAGGCCAACAATGATCAAGCGACAGCTTATCTTCTTTGTAAACAGCTACTGGAACACTACAAATTTTACTGGAATTCAGGGATATACAGTACTGATGTACTAGAATACAACCATATTATATAAGGTTGGACTGATGGTAAAAAGTCGCACACTGTTTCTCCCTTGAGTCATTTAAAATTCCTACAGGTCCTAATCCAGATGTATTTACGCAGGCACATCTCCCCTTGTATTCAGTGGGAGTTTGGCCTGCATAAAGACTATGGCCCCAATTCAGCAAAATATTTAAGTACGTGCTTAACTTTAAGTCAAGGGGACTTAGGAATGTGCTTAAGTGCATTGCTGAATAGGATTGGACTCTTCAATCAGACCCCACCATAAGACATACAACTGGATCCCCAGTTCCATTAACTTGGCTGATTTACATCTGCTGAGTATTTGGCCCATGAAGCTTGGGCTCAGAGTCACTAGTGACTGTAACTCATAGTCAAAAGGACAGACATTTTCAATGTGACATAGTAATAATTAATATAACAATTATTATGATCTAATTTTAGAGTTTATTAAGCCCTTCTAATTATATTAAGATTATAAGGGAAAATCACACTAGCCAATATATATATTCTTATATATATATATATTATGGAGAAATAAAAAGCTTGACTTCTATTTTGTGATTTGCTTTCATATGGTGTTTTTTAAGTCAGAGGTTTAGATGAAATAAAAACGTCATTTTCTTACATTTGAAAATTTAGTTAACAATTTAGGGCAAAAAGTAAAAATAAAAACCCTGGGGTAATCTTTCAAGTTACATCCTATAGTTATAGAGAATTTTGAAACAAGATTTGACTGAGTTTAAATTCATACACTGTACTGTGCTTTAATTTGTAGAAGGAACTGACAGAGAGGAAGACAAAAGCATCAAACCTATTGTTATGAAGGCCCTGATCTTTGGCAATATACTCTTACAATAAGTCTTATAGCAGATGCATAATAAACAGTTGTGATTCTCGCTTATTACCTCAGATGGCAAGAGGTTGACGGGAACTCTCTCATCCTCTAGCATGCGTCTTGATGCCTTCTGCCAATACAGGTAATCAACAAGAGATCTGTGGTCAAAGTTTCCCGTTGGAGGTTTTTCAGTCTGATCTTTCTGTATCATTCCAACTGGGACTCTTGGATCTGGAGCCATGACTTCCATTTCACATTGGAGCTCCCTCAGCTCTTCAGGGGATAAGTTTCCTAAGATTTCATCTTCATCAATGTCCTCGATTCTGACTTCCTGGTCAGAATTTTGGCTGAATTCAGACATTTTTTTAAACCCGCAGAAAATAAATTTATCAAACGCTGGGCTACTAATGGTATTACACGCTGTTAAATCCCCACATTCATGGTTTTGTCGTGGCCCGTGGCAGTGCTGGATCTCAGTGTGTGAGAGAGACAGTGGGACGAAAGCTTTTACTAAGTCTATATTAAGCTGCTGCACTTGGCTGGATAAAGAGAATTTATGGAGATGTTGCCATGCTCCGTTTTCAGCAACTTGTCAGCTGTGCAAACCCTTCTGACATTTCAGTACAGCCGGTATGTCTCTCATTGAGTAATAGAGAAGATGATAGTTTTCTAGAGGATTCCCTTCAGAGGATGACTTTTAAATCTCATCATATTGATAAATCTGCTATATATACAGGATGAAATTCACATTTGTGCAGAGAGCCAACACACAAGTTTTCTTGGAACTGGAAAAGGTTCAGAGAAGGGCAACAAAGACAATCAAAGGTATGGAAGTGCTCCCAGGTGACAAGAAACGAAAAAGATTAGGGGTGTTCGGTTTAGAAAAGAGACAACGAAGAGGGGGTATGATAGAAGTCTATAAAATCGTGTAGTGTGGGGAAAGTGAATAGAGAAGTATTATTTATCTTTTCACACAATACAAAAACCAAGCGTCCCAATGAAATGAATAGGCAGCAAGTTTAATACAAACAAGAGGAAGTATTTTTTCACAGAACGCACAACTAACCAGTGAAACTCATTGCCGTGGGATATCGTGATGGCCAAAAATATAATTGGGTGAAAAAAAACTGGATAATTTCATGGAGGATAGGTTCATCAAGGTCAACCCCATGCTTAGGGCAACACTGAACCTCTGACTACCAGAAGCCAGGAGTAGAAGACAGGGATGGATCACTCCATAAATGCCCTGTTCTGTACACTTCCCCTGAAACGCTGGTACAGGCCACTGCTGGAGACAGCAAACTGGATGAGATGGACCATGGTCCATATATCATAATAAGGTGCACTTGTTACTACTACCAGGGTCCTGGGCCATGACAAGAGGTCCTAGGTGCTAATAACAACCTGAATCTAAAGAACCAGGTGTGTAGTGAATGTTACCTCTGTAAATTCTTTATTCATAAGGCCTCTTTACCACATAATAAGCCTCATCCTAGGAGTGGGACATGAGTCCTTGTGTAGTCATGGGTGAAATTCACCAGTAGTGTTTTTCCTTGAGGTTACCATATCATTTTCACACCCAGCGGCTAATGCTAGGATATTGTGGTTATTGTTTACAACTAGGGATGTCGTGCAAGTTTAAAACAAACTATTGGGCCTTTTCACCACATATATTGAACACCATCATGAAGCTTTAGTCTTTATTTAGATTTCCCCTACACCTTGTGTGTTGAAGAAAGCTAAAGAGACTTTTGTCTTTCTGGGTTTGTATCCCAGTAGACAAGTGTTCTCAAATTTTTTCTCCCCAGAAAGAGTATCTTGTGTATACTGTTCCTGCTTATTAAATATAGAGCATTACTTGTGATTATAGGTATTTTACAATGCACTGAGATTACAGATCCAAAAATAAGACCCTATTTAACATCCTACTGTGCATGTGTAAGGAGCTAGCTGGGTCTGTAATACACAATATATTGGTAGAAGTTAACCTGTCTCACAAGAGGTTCACAGCTAAGAAGCAGTGCACTAATCTGCTGCATATCTATGACTATAATTAGATTTCTGAGACCTAATAAGTACTGTATTTGCATCCATCTAGGCAATAGTGCACCAAAAGAAAACAACAACATTCCACTGAATTTTCTTGTTACCAAGTATCCGTGAATGACTGGGAAATCCTCAATTATTACCACCGTTTCCTGTCTCCTTCCAATTCACTATCAAACCATCTTAGATCAGAATCTCTGCCAGCCTTCTGGACTGCAGTGTGCTCACACAAGATACATCAGGTCAGAATCTGGGCTCTGCCTCTGGACATGGGAACCTGGTTAGGAATTATTTTCAACTAACTGTCTATCTTGAAAAGTTTTATTTTTTCCATCATATGATTAGGGCGGGCCACCGGCAGCCTGGAATAAGTGGGTGAAACCTCCTTGGGAATCTCTGGGATAAATCTGGCAGCGACGTACACAGTAGCGTAAGATAGACAATGGGAGTAAGTCGTGTGACTTAGACTAATTTGGCATTTAGTGAGTGTAGAAGAGCCGTCTGGCACGGGAATTGGGACAAGTGATGCAGGAAGTGTGGCTACGCCAACGATACGCTACCCCACGTCCTATGTAGCTGCAAGCCCCATTCGAGAGCTTGGCAGCTACGACACAACGCCATCCAAGATCGCCTGGCCAGAGCCATCCCGCCACCCATGGGGAAGGTTGCCGTTAACTCTGCCATCCCCGGAACCGACAGCCAACTGCAACCGGACATCGTCATCACCGACGAGGACCAGAAGAAGATCATCACGGTGGATGTCACAGTGCCCTTCGAGAACAGGACCCCGGCCTTCCACGACGCCCGAGCTCGAAAGGTGGAGAAATACGCCCCTCTGGCTGAAACCTTGAGAGCAAAGGGTTACCAGGTTCAGACACACGCGCTGATCGTCGGAGCCTTGGGCACAGGGGATCCCAGTAATGAGCGCGTGCTGAGAGAATGCAGAATCAGTCAACGCTACGCTCGGCTGATGCAGCAACTCCTGGTGTCAGACGCCATCAGGTGGTCGAGGGACATCTACATAGAACACATCACTGGACATCGGCAGTATCAGGAGGGATGAGCTGGAGTGCCGATGAGAAGCGCAGTCAGGAAAGTAACTGAAATACTTTCCTCATGGATTATACTTTCTAAATGGACAACCAACCTAATTCTCAATTACTGAGGGACAATCTCCATTCATTGATATATTTTGCTTTCCACAACCAACTCTCTGCACAACTTTTCATGAGTGATGTACCCCGGTATTCGGATTCTAATATCTAAACTGTATTGTTAAATCTATTCACCTAAATTTGGGTTATTGCTGATTATGTACTCTATGTATCATATGACTTTTAAAAAACGGACTTTGTATTTATGGCTAATCGAAGCACTATACCCAGATGTACAGACACTCTTTTCTTAACCTATGTATTATATAATTTTTTTTAACATTAGCTTTAATAAAAAAATGTAATGAGTGGCATTTACTCATTTATGAGGTAAAGAGGAGGCCAGGGCAGCCCCAACAGTTCAGTTGACTCCAGAGTTGACGCTCCAAGGCACAGCACTACTTTAAGGCTATGGCTACACTATGAGGCTTTTAGCGACACAGCTGTGCCCCTACAGATGTGCCACTCGCTAAAAGGCACACAGTGTAGCTACTGAGGGTCCTGTGGCACCTTTAAGACTAACAGAGGTATTGGAGCATAAGCTTTCGTGGGTGAATGCCCACTTCATCAGACGCAAGTGTAGCTTGTAGTAGTAGTGTAGCTACTGTTTGTCGGCAGGAGAGAGCTCTCCTGCCGACAAAAAACTTCCACCCCCCATGAGCAGAGCACTCCTGCCGACAAAGCGCTGTTCACACCTGGCGCTTTTCGTCGGTAAAACTTTTGTCGTTCGGGGTGTGCGGTTTTTTGAACACCCCTGAACGACAAAAGTTTTGCCGACCAAGTGCCAGTGTAGACATACCCTAACTTTCCCATGGTTTTATTCCAGGGGTTCTCTCACTTCACAATGTTCCTGGTTCTCCTGGAAACTCAACAACAATCCAAGTCCTAAAGCCGGACCGAGTGCTCTCACGTTCGACTTCAGTCCTGGACCCTGTTGGCAGAGTGATCTCTGGCCAGGCTGCCAAGTGCCAGGCACTGGGCAAGTTTTGACACTCACTGCATTTGCCCCTCCCCGCACACATTCCTGCAGCCCTTTGGGATTCTCCAGCCCAGAGCAGGGATGCGGGGAGTGGAGAGGACTTTTCCTGTAATACTCTTCCCAGCCATTGTGCACAGGGCAGCAACACCGAGGGCAGGGAGACTGCATCTCCTCTGCTCTCAGTGCCCCCACTGCCAGCTGGCTGCTCCTCTGACTCGGGCAGGAGGGTGAGGAGCAGAAGGGAGACACGCAAACCGGGAGAGTGAGGAACTGAAGGGAGCAGGCTGGGGGATGGGAGCAGAAAGGGTAACCGGAAGTAAGGGCCGGATGGAGAATTTCCTGCTCGGGCTGACCTGCCACTGTGCCACTCCCCAAACAAGTTCCTCTGCTCCCTCCACTTCTCTTATCCCTGCTGGCTTCTCCAGGCTTCCCCGTAGTCCCTGTCTCCGCGCCCCCAACTTGTGCAGAGGGCAAGGCAGCTACTTCCCCCACACCCATCCATCCTGCCTCTCTGGGGCACTCCAAGAGGCGGGTGAGTGATTGTATTTCACTGGTGAAAAATGGCTGCACAGTCCTGGGCCACTTTGGGCAGTGTGCTCCTTGGGAACATGGCCTTCTCCCATGATCCAGACCTTGCTTTCTTAGCAAGGCAACAGCACTTATCGCCTCCCTCCAGGTCTGATAGCTTGTGCCATGAACCTTGCCTTCCAGAAACCCTTCCTTCCAGATGCTGGGTAGAATATATGCCCCATGCTTTATCTAAAACATTCCTGTAGCTGCTTCCACCTGAGGCCCCATCCACCACCACCCTCACCTGCCGGAGCCCATAGGCCCCCCCACCATGGCCAAAGGAGCCTCGGCCAAACCACCCCGGGCCTCCAGATGGCCAGCCCCAGTTGCCAAGCTCTCCAGGCCGCCGGCTGGCCCAAGCCCCGAGCTCCAGACTACTGGCCCAAGCTGAGCCCCCGCCGGCTTCTAGGGAGAGGGGGAGCCAGGGCAGGGGCTCAATGCAGAGTGTGGGTGGGGCCACGACCTGGGTTAGGGGAGGCTTAGCCTCCCCTGGCCTATGATACCTGTCCCCCATGCATGTTTCCACAACCACTGAATGCCAGATCAGTGTACGCTTCACTCACATCCAATCTCCAAGCAATTTGTGCCCTTCAGGCATATTTCACATTAAGCACCAAATCCAGGTCCTGTTAAAGTCAATGGTGTAACCCCAATTTAATTCATTCGGCCCTAAGTCTTTGGTGAATTTGATAACAATGACAAACATGTCATGCAGAATGTTTGACTACCTGT